AGTTACGCTTCTGTTCTCATTTTGTATGGACGCATTTATTTTATCCTTACTTTTTATTTTAATAATTTTCCCTTTCTGTATTGTTTATATTTGATAATGTATTTTTATAATTCTTTTATATGGATGAAAATGAGGATGGACACAATTATATACTGTATGTATAACCTTCTGTGGCTCAAAAAAATGTTGAGCTTTGAAAGTCTCTAAGTGTAATTTTGAGTAAATGTGGACCGATTCTCCATCTTGTTCATGACTGGCTCAATGGTGCCCACATTATTTGTGCACAGCAACATTTACAGCTGTTGTTGAAACCCAATTAGTCAGTGATTTATAAAGGTATAAAAAAAGATGATTTTTAAGTTAATTGCTAATGTTTTTAAAGGAAGAAGAAAAGGTCTTTGGGATATCAGAAATAGCCTACTCTTTAAGCCCCTGAGCAGGTTGGCCAGTGTTCGTGTTTGGCACGAAGAGAAAATGTAAACAAACTTGTGTGCTGCTGCTAACTGTAGCTCACAAGCCCAAGGCTATAGCTATAAAGACAACATTGACATATTATCACCTTTTATGTTGATATGCGAACGTGTTAGCAAACAGTTGCCTATTTAGACATCTAGAAGATTTCATTTGGACTGCTAAATTGAACGTTTTCATAAAGTTCATAAAGAGTGGTGCTATCCATGGTACTGAACGTGTTGTGTATGATGGCATCCCGTATGTTTGATTGGCTGTACTAATGTCTACATCTGCATAGATGTAGAACAACATTCTGAATATAGATATGATGTATACATTTTGCTTTCTTTTCTCAATGTGCTGTAGCAGAGAAAGGTCAATAAACCTGAAGAGGGATCAGTCATGCAGTCATGTGGATCCTGTTTTATGGTGCTTTAATTACTTTGTGTCCTGTATGTTTTTCTGCTGAGTTCTGTGTTTTTTAATGTACATACTTATTGTTAGTTTTGTTTTGTACTGTCTCTTGTGTATTTGTTGAGTTTGATGTATTTTAAAGGCCCAACTAGGGATGAGAATTGTAAATTAGCTCAGGCTATAAATGCTGTGGTCTGTGGCATTTGTTTATTCTACATAATTGTCCCTGTACAAATAAACAATGAATAAAATAAACTAAACCCCCAAACCACTCTTATTTTGCTAATTGCTAATTTGCTATTTTAGTGCAAAGTATTTGAACACACTACATATTTTGCTATTAATATGTGAAGCAACCGCTCT